ATTGAAGTGGCCAGACTCTGTCCAGCTTGTTTGCCCTAGACTTGGGATTTGAGACATGGTTAATCTGGATTCCCCACTGAGATGACAAGGGAGGTCATTTTATTTAGTTGTGCAGACAAAGTCCTGGTCACCTCTCCCTGCCAGTAAATAGCAGCACTCCCAAGTCTTAAAAGCTCTGTTGGGGGTGGTGTTTGGATGTTGCACAAGGAGGTACATACAGCATGCCTTCTTGCATAGTGTCCCAAAAAAATATATATTTAAGCCTAACCCCAAATTATATGTGCATATATCACCAACAGGATTTCAGCCAATATATCACACAGTGGAGGAGACTAGCAAAAGGTGATCAGTGTGCCTGCTCTGCAATGGCTACAGGCAGTTTTGAAGCATTGTCTCATTATAAGTTTTTTACTTTTAATCAGCCTTGAAATTCAAACAGAGGATGACATCATGTAGAGAACTGTTCTTTGATAGCCTTTCAAGCAGAGGACTGTCCTCTCTAAAGCAGGATACGTGGCCACCCTGTTGGAAATTAAAGCATCAATACTGTAACAAGTATCCTGAACCAGTTCAGTGAGGGGGCCCTAGCAGGTAGATTTCCCCTCTTATCTTTTCTAGATCTATCTGCATATTGCTAGGCCTAGGTTTTACTTCCTTCCTCTATTTCCTAAGATTATCAAGAGGGGCAGGCAGTGTATAGTGTCTCAAAAGTGGTTGTGTGAGCAAATTTGCACACATGGAGGCCAGGCTTGGAGGTGTCTGTAATCAAATATAGCAAGTTTGTGCTATCTTTGAATTGATGTGTTGAAACGATAAACCCAAGTTTTTCCTTTTTATCTTACCACAGGCATCCAGAGTACTCACTTCTGTTTTACAGGCATAGACTCGTAGCAGTAGCATGGTGTATTATGGACACCCAACATCCAAAATACAAAGGAAAGAGCCAATTATATATTCAATTATTTTATTCTGTTTCAAGTCAAGTCTCAGGTCTCTACCTTCAAGTCTCAAGTCAAGTCTAAAGTCAAGTCAACTCTCAAGTCAACTCTCAAGTCTGGGAGCCAACTTTTAACAGGAAAAAAAGAAGACGGACTGTTTCTCGAAGGGCAACATCAAGCATGTTTACCGAAGCAGAGGTTGAGGTCTGCTTGGCACTCTGTCCCTGCTGCACATCAGAGGAGCCTTCTAAAGCTTTTGAAAAGCTTTTGAAGGATCCTTCCATCTTAAGCCCATCTTAAGCCCATTGCTTAAGGCATTTGCTGTTCCCCTCCAAGAAGTATGCCCTGCTCTCTGGGAGCAAGTCTTGCTTGATGCTCAAAGTGAATGATGCCAGCAAGTCGGTTGCTAAAATATACAAGTTGTGAGTCAAGATGAGTCAGCGTGTAATTTATATCCGAATCAAGCAACTTGAGTCTAACTTGAGTGTGAAAGCTTATCACATTGCAAAAGAAAGATGAGAGGGGCAAGATAGAGATGCCTTTTTGCTTTTTGGCAAAAGCCACATGTTTACAACCAACTCCCTCTGGAGGGAGAACGGAAGTACTATGACATCATGTGGGAAGGTAAGCCAAAACACATTTCTATCTCGTTCCTTTTTGTCATTCTTTTGCAATGAAAATTAGCTCAAGTCTACATCACTGGAAGTGCCCCAACTATGCATCCCCCAGAGCTCTCTTCTCACTTTCTGGGTCAGGCCAGCCACTTTTAGGAATGTCTTCTATCCATTCCTTCTCTGTCTGTGGTCTCAGCTACATCTCAGCAGAGCAAGCAAGCCATGATGGCAGCAATGGCTTTGTGGGTGCTGCAGTGGGCTGCATTTGGGACTGCTGATCTTCTGGTCGTGGCTGTATCACCCATTCTCTCTCTTTTGGTACTCCCTGCTCACTTGGTTCAACAACAGCAGTGAGGTTATCTGTTTTGTCTGTTTACTTGAATTCCTAGTAGTGTTTGCTAGTCAGAAGTATGCCACCAGTAAATAGGGCTACCACATCTCAGGGGGGGATTGGTTGCAATCTGAGGGAACTACTGCACTTGTCTGAGTAGGAAGACCAGCACTATAGGTGGAGGAAGAAGTTTTAAGCATTCATTTGGACACCCTTCCTAAATCCAGTCACTGCCCTGCCCCTCTGAAGAATGTGTGCTTCATGGCTGGTAGATGTCAGAGGCCAGAGAAGCTCAAAATAAATGGAAGGAACAGAAGGAAAATCTACAGCAGCTGCCAAAATAGCTATGGCTCTTACCTTTAGACAAGTGCCAGCTTTAGGCCTGGTTTCTGTAGTGGAATATTGTTCCGAAATAGCAAGATAGGAGTGAGTTTCACTTCGTTAAAGGTCACAATAGTCTACCTTCTAGATCAACACTTGGCTTTCCATTTGAAGACATACACAAAAAGAAAACAAGAAGAAAAGTAGACTTGCCACGAAATGCATACATACATTGCTTGAAAAATAATCCTGTTAAAGCAAATGGGATTCCTTTTTCAGTTAGTGCTTTATGGCCTGCAATATTGGACTCTGGATTGTTTGTTTCCTTAAACTCGGGCGAGAATTGTGGGACCCAAGAATCATATGCAGTGTACCAAATCATCCATTGCATCCTTATCCCCCCTCCAAACTGTTCCATAGTTTTCCCAAACTGGCTCTAATATAGAGAAATGTACCCCCAGAAACTTCCAGTAGGTTTGATACTTCATTTTAAAGAACTCTGGACCTGAAATAGCCTTCCCCCACCCTCCAATTTGTATTTCAAAGGAAGTGGCATGGGCAGGTCACAGAGAGGGGATGCAATCTATTTCATACCCACCAACATTTCATAGTGGAAAACTGGGACAAGCTTTGGGTGTAACAGTGAGAGTGTTTTCATGCAAAAGCAGAAAGCTGAGTCCCCACCTCACACATCAAAAGTGAAGGAGCAACAGGGACAAAGGCTAAAAAAGAAAGCCATGTAATTTCACCTCTCATTTTTAGCCACAAAAGAGATTACTATGCTTTTAAAACGTGATTACACCTGGGGAAAAAGTGGTCTTGGGGATACTTATCACAGAACAATGCCTCTGACTTATAGCTGCTGTGTCCCCCAATTACGATTAGGCTGTCCCTTTTTATTGATGGGGAGAATCCATCAATGAATTGTCAATAGTGAAAATACCCAAGCGCAAAACATTGCTGCTGCAGCAGTTGCAAAATTGCCAGTGATGTGGTGTCAGTGTCCTCTCCTCTCTCCTGCTGTTCCCAAGCAACTCAATTACTTTTTAAGATATTTTTTAACTGAGGGCCTA